ATCCATTATACACAGACACACACACACACACACACACACACACACACACACACAGCATTTCACATTTGATCTCTAGAAAAACCCTCAGTAACAAAAGGTACAAATCTCAGAGTGATTTCCACATTTGCAAAGATAGTAAATGTATTAGTTTGCTAGTGTCCTAGGAAAATACCACAGACTGGGTGGCCTAAACAACAGAAATTTATTTTTCTCCCAGTTTTGGAGGGTAGAAGTCCAAGATTAATGTGTCAGCAGAGTGATTTTCTCCTCAGGCCTCTCAGTTTGCAGATGGCTGCCTTCTTGCTGTGTCTTCCCATGGTCTTTGCTCTGTGCATTCCTGGTTTTTCTTTGTGTGTTCAAATTTCCTGTTCTTATTAAAACACCAGTGACACTGCATTAGGGGCCACCCTAAGGGCCTGTTTTAACTGAATCATCTCCTTAAAGGCCCTAACTTCAAACACAATTCCATTCTGAGGTTAGAGCTTTAACATGTGACTTTTGGAGAAACACAATTCAGCTCCTAACAGGAAATGATAGAATAGAGCAAGAACACAAATCTAGGTGTAACGACTTGAAGATCTATTGTGTGTATGTGCTGTGTGTGTGTGTGTGTGTGTGTTAGCATAAACCCATCACAGTCTCTCAATGAAAGCAAACACCTTATATTCTTCATGGAGAACAGTTCAAAATGAATGAAAACAAGGTAACATGAGCCAGAATATCCCAGCTTTGAGACTGCTAAGTGGGAGAATGTAATGTAAAATAGGAAGGGATTCTGGGAAGATTTCAGCAATGGTGTTAAGAGTTTTAGAATCCCCTGATTTCCCCACAAATATAGATAGAGTAACTATAATAGCAAAGGTGAAACCTGGCATACACCATCTGTAACAAAATTAAGTGCTAGGCTACCGACATGAACACCCAAACAGGCAGGTACAGACTACTGATAGTTACAGACTCACATATTATTGGCATCTGCGTGTGAGAGAGAGAACAGGGTGGGAGCGGGGAGACAACCAGAGGTCTGGTGTTTTTGTGAAATAAGAACCTCAAAACCACAAGAAGTACTCTTTGGAAAGTCAAACTGAATACAGCAGCCAAAACTGTGAGGGGGGCTGTAACAAAATTGAAAGTTGTGGGAGCAATCTGGGCCCGATGAACACTTTAAACTAACCAACAAAGCTCCTTTTCAGAGCAAAGCTCACGCTGCGGAGAAACTGCTGGGAGTATAATCCAAATAGAAGGGGACAGGATCATGAAGAATAAAGGGAAGAGATGGTACAAATAAAAGTGGGGATACAACATCAAAGGCACCATCCATGAAAGAAAATATTGATAAGTTGGACTTTATTAAAATTAAAAATGTCTGCTTTGGGAAAGACACTATCAAGAGAATGAAAAGACAAGCCACAGACTGGGACAAAATATTTGCAAAAGACACATCTGATAAAAGACTGCTATCCAAAATATCCAAAGACGTCTTAAGCGCTTCAATAAGAAAATGAACAACTTGATTAACGAAAATGGGCAAAATATCTGAACAGACACTTCACCAAAAAAGATAGAGATGGCAAATAAGCATATGAAAAGATGCTCCACATCATAGGTCATCAGGGAAATGCAAATTAATACGAAAATGAGACACCGCTACACACCTATTAGAGTGCCTGAAATCCAGAGCTTTGGCAACACCAAATGCCAGTGAGGATGTGGAGCAACAGGAACTCTCACTCATTTCCAGTGAGAATGCAAAATGGTGCAGCCACTTTGGAAGATGGTTTGGCAGTTTCTTACACAACTAAACATACTCTTACCATAGGATCCAGCAATCTCATCCCTTGTTATTTACCCAAAAGAGTTGAAAAACTTATGCCCACACAAAAACCTGCACATAGATGTTTTTAGTAGCTGTATTCATAATTGTCAAAACTTGGAAGCAACAAGATATCCTTCAGTAGTTAAATGAATATATAAACTGTGGTATGCACGGACAATGAAATATTATTCAGTGATTAAAAGAAATGAGCTATCACACCTCTATTCCATGAAAATACATAGAGGAGACTTACGTGCATATTACTAAATGAAATAAGTCATCCTGAAAAAGCTAGATTCCACCTATATGGCATTCTGGAAAAGGGAAAACTATAGACACAGTGAAAAAAATCTATGGTTGCCAGGAAGTGATGAGAAGGAGGGATGATTATGTGGAACACAGGGGATTCTTAGGCCAGTGAAACCATTCTGTTTGATACCGTAATGGTGAGTACATTATGTATACGAACATGTATTCATATATATGTCATTATACATTTTCAAAACCCACAGAATGCACAACACAAAGAGTGAGCCCTAATGGAAACTATGGACTTGGTTGACGATGATGAGCGAATGCTGGGTCATAGGATCTAACACACGAACCACACTGATATGGGATGTTGATGGTAGGTGAGGTTGTATGGGGCAGGGGTGGGGATATGTGGAAAAGCTAAAAATGAAAAACCGATTCTGCAAATTCCAGTGCTGGATAAGACAAAGTAGACAGTTTTGTATATGCCTCCCAGTAAGTACACCTAAATGTCCTTAGTATTATATATGAAATAAACATAAGGAGATGACAAAAGGTGAAGAGAAGAAGCTAAACCAGATAGGGGCCTTGGGACCTGAGGAATGAATGGTATAGCAGTGAGTTCGCCGAGCTTTCTTTATGTCTCCTATATCCTAGACTGGGTGCTGAAGAAGCCAACAGCTCAGAAACACCAATGGGTGCAAACAAACAAAAGGCTCATATCAAGCATGCACTTTCTAATCAAAGGACCAGGAGAGGGGCAGCTTAGCAAAATATTGGGTTGTCAGAAAAGTCATGATGAATTTTTGCAACAAAGAACATAGAAAAAATGTCATGACTTTTCTGACAACCCAATAGAAAACTTTTAAACAATAACTGCTTTATTCCAGCCAAACACCAAGGAAAACAATATGCCCCTCTATTTGTACCCCCACAAGCAAAGGCCAAGAGGTGAGCCTGAACTTCAACCATCCAACAATAGTGATGCACCCTATCCCTCCCTGCTCAGGTGATGGCAGAAGAGGACTACTGGGAAGCTGGGAGTTTTGATCACCTTCTAGCATTAACAAGGCCCTCTGCCCATGGTATCATGCAGGTCACCTGGAGAACAGTAACAAGGTACTCCTACCCCGCCCAGTCAGGATGGTGAGTGAGGAGCCTGAACTCTTATCCATGCCCAGCAGTAACAGGCACCCCTCCTGCCCAAGGCGTCAGCAGAGGCTGAGTGGTGAACCTGGCAAACAGGTACCCTCATATCCCTCCAGTGCAGTAAGACGCAGCCTGCTAAAACACATTTAAATAAGATCCAAAGTGAAAAAAAAAAGAAAGTATAGCAAGTAAATAGAAAAGATAAAGAAAACCAAATGGAAATTTTAGAAGTGAAAATATAATAACCAAAATAAGAAGCTTAATAGGTATTCTCAACAGGAGAATAAAGATGACAAAGAATCCATGAACTTAAAGACAGAACAATATAAATGACCCAATCTGAAAAACAGAGAGAAAACAAACTGAAAAAGTCTATTCTGACTTCCATTTCTCTCCTCAAAAAGCAGGAATGCATTTCATATAAAAATGCACAACGAGAAAGGATTATAGAATTTACTATAAAATTATTATGATAAAAATGACTAACATCCCTATTAAAAATGAAAGCATGCCAGAGAGGCATACCTGAAAGAGATCCAAATTGTACCTGAGATTTCAAGCTGAGCTAAGAGAAATTTAAAAAAAAAAATGTAGGTCATGAAAAAAATATAATTTAGAATAAGAAAAACTAAAAGAAATTAAGTGATTGCAGAAAATGAATATTTGAAAGGAGAGGCGGAAAAACTCATGAAATAATTTTTAAATTTTTCAATAAAGACAAAATTGGAAGAAACACAAAAGGCAATAAGCTCAATTGGTAATACCTTCAGAAAAATAAAAGATGGAAAGGTAAAAATATTTAAATTTTAAAAATGAAAAGATAAAAAGAGTTGAAGAAAAAGTAATAACAAAGATAGCCAAAGAGGATCTACCATAAGTAATATAGGAATCCCAATATAAGTAGGAGTCCCAAAATAAGAAAATCAAAGCAATGCAACAGAAAAATTGTTTAGAATTTTTAGAAACTTAATTGAAATAAAGAAGACCTGAAACTATATATTGAAAATACATATTGCACACTTTGGAAAATCAACACAGAAGGGGAAATATTTAGCTATACAATAGTAAATATACAAAGATTTAAAAAGTATATTTTAGGCTTCTAGACAACAATTATAGAATACACATTCTTTTCAAGATAGGCCATTCTGGGCCATAAAATAAAATTCAATGAAACTGAGTACAATAGATTTGAAGTAGAACTCAATAACAAGGCATTAAAAAATCCCCAATTATTTGGCAATGTAAAAACATACTTCTAAGAGCTCGCTCAAGAGTGCGAGCTCTGAGCAACAGCGGTTTGATTCCCAGCCTGAGCTGAGCTGCCACTGAGCTGCCAACAGGTGGCAGGGTGGCTCAGTTAAAAAACAACAACAACAACAAAAAAAAACAAAAAATCATACTTCTAATAACTCATTTCAAATAAGAAATCACAAAGAAAATAACTACATATTTCAAACTGGTAATAAAATATAACATTAAAATTTGTGAGATAAAGCTAAAGCAGTGCTTAAAGATTTATGGACTCAATTGCCTATATCAGGAGGAAAAAAGATTTGAATCATTTACCTAAGTTTCCAAATTAAAAAACTAGAAAAAAAAAGAAATAAACCCAAAGAAATCAGGGAAAGAATAATGATGAGACAGGAAAACAATAAATAAAAAATTAGACATTAAATTAGAATTTAAAAAAATTAAAGATTCTTTGAATTTTTAAAAAATTCGTAAACAGAGAAAGCCTATATCTCAATAATTTATCATAAAACAAGAACAAAGAACTTACCTTGGCCAATTCTGTAATTTCACCAAAACCAGGCTTCCAAGAGGTAGCTGTGAATAGACAATCTTAAATCCACTTTGATTAAGCTGAGATTCCTCAGGAAAGTCTTCTTCAGGAACAGAGCACTTACTATATCTTGAATCAGTGTTCATGAAGCAATACCATGGCTCATTGTGATCAATTTTGGCTGCGTCCTCACTTGTCAACAATCGCCATTTCAAACAGCTCTCATTCTCACATTGAATCCACACTTTATTTACATACATGTTGTTTTCCACTGAAGAAGCCATTGCAGTGTTATAATTTTCTATGATTAACTTACTATCCAATTTTTTCCTTTTTCCATAAATGCATTTAAATCTGGAAAATAAATAAGAGGAAAATAAAAGAATAAGGATTCAAGAGTATAAGGAGAGAATGTTCACATCTCTGTAACTTACTCATTTCGCTTAAATAAAATATTATGTCTGCTAATTAGTAACTCCCCATTTCATCCTTCCCTCTGTCCCTGGAAGGTACCATTCCATTTTGAGTCTATGAATTAGATGATTTTAGATACCACACATAAACGGAACCATGCAGTATTTGTGCTCTGTAACTGGCTTATTTCACTTGGCAAAATGTCCTCCAGTTTTATCTATGTTGTCACATACTGCAGAATTTCCTTCTTATTTAAGGCTGAATAATATTTCATTGTATGTTTTCTTTATCTGTTCATCTATCGACAGACACTTAGGTCGTTTCCATATCTTGGCTATTTTGAATAGTGCCACTAGCATGTCTTTGAGAGCCTGATTTCAATTTTCTTGGCTAATTACCCACAGGTGGGATCGATGGATCGTATGGTATTTGATATGTTTTTTTTTTAGAAACGTCCATACTGTTTTTCATAGCAGCTGCACCATTTTGCATTCCCACCAACAGTGTACAAGGCTGCAATTTCTCCATATCCTCACCATTTGTTATCTTTCAACTTTTTGATAATAGCCACCCTAACAGGTATCAGGTAATATCTAATTGTGGTTTTAATGTACATTTTTCTGATGAATAGTGATGCTAAGGATCTTTTCGTGTATCTGCTGGCCATGTATAAGTCTTATTTGGAAAACAGTCTGTTCAGTCCCTCTGCCCACTTTTCAATTTGATTATTTGTGTTTTTGCTATTTGTTCTGAGAAAACCTTATACATTTTGGATATTAACCCCTTATCGAATGTATAGTTTACAAATATTTTCTCCATTCCACAGGCTGCCTTTTCATTTTTGTTGACTGATTCCTTTGCTGTGAAGAAATGCTTCAGTTTGATGTAGTCCTACTAGGCTACTTGTTTTTGTTGCCAGTGCTATTGATGTCAGATTCAAAAGTTCATTGAAAGACCAATCTCAAGGAACTTTCCCCCTGTGTTTTCTTCTAGTAGTTTACAGTTTCGGGTCTGACATTTAAATCTTTAATCCATTTGGAGTTGCTTGCTCACATATAGTGCAAAATAAGGGTCCAATTTCATTCTTTTTCATGTGGTATCCAGTTTTCCAATCCTATTTATTGAAGAGACTGTACTTTCCCCATGTGTATTCTTGGTGCCTTTGTAGAAAATTAGTTGACCATATATATGTGGGTTTATTTCTAGGGTATCTATTCTGTTCCACTAATTGGTGTCTATTTTTATGCCCACATCACACTGTTTTGATGAATATAGTTTTGAAATATAGTTTAAAATCAGGAAGTAGGGTGCCTCCAAGACTGCTCTCCTTGCTCAAGATTGCATTAGCTATTCAGGGGCTTTTATGATTCCACACACATTTTAGGATTTTCTTTTGATTTCTGGGAAAAAAAGCCATTGGAATTTTGATAGAGATTACATTGAATCTGTAGATTGCTTTGGGTGGTATGGACATTTTAATTATTAATTATTTCAATCCATGAACATGGAATATCTTTCCATTTATTTGTGTCTTTAATTTCTTTCATCAATGTTTTATAGTTTTCAGTGTACAGATCTTTTACCTCCTTGGTTAAGTTTATTCCTAAGCATTTTATTCTTTTTGATGCAATTGTAAATGGAACTGTTTTCTTAATTTCTTTTTCAGATAGTTCCTTGTTGGTGTATAGAAATGCAACTGTTTTTGTTTGTTGATTTTCTAGCCAGCAACTTCATTGAGTTCATTAGTTTTAACAATTTTTGGTGGAATCTTTAGCATTTTCTATATATGAGATCATATATTATACAAACAGAGACAGTTTTACTTCCTTTCTGATGTGGATGCCTTTTATTTCTTTTTCTTGCCTAATTGCTTTGTCTAGGACTTTCAATGCTATGTTGAATGAAACTGGTGAGTGCCAATTTTATTTATCTTTTCAAAAAAACCAATACTTAGTTTCATTGTTCTTTCTTAGTATCTTTCTGGTCTCTCATTTATTTCTGCTCTGATCTTTGTTATTTCCTCCATCTACTAAACTCAGGCTTAGTAGTTTCTCTTTTTCTAGTTCCTTCTGGGGTATCATTAGGTTTGACATGTTTCTTTTTCCTTAATTTTGACAATATCACTATAAACTTCCCTCTTAGAAGTGATTTTGTAAAAATCCCATAACTTTAGTATGTTATGTTTCCATTTTCATTCATCTCAAGGTACTTTTTAATTTCTTCTTTGATTCACGGGTTAGTCAGGAACTTATTGTTTAATCTCAACATATTTAGAATTTTTTGTGTGTGTGAATTATTTTTTGTGAATTTTCCAGTTTTTCTCCTGCTGTTGATTTCTGGTTTCATATCATTGTGGTTAGGAAAGATGCTTGATATGGTTTTAATCTTCTTATGTTTGTTAAGATTGCTTTTGTGGCCTAACATATGATATGTCCTGGAGAATGTTGCATGTCCACTTGAGAAGAATGTGTATCCTACTGCTGTAGGACAGATGTTCTGTATGTGTCTGTTACATTATTTTCACCTAAAGCATAGCTTTAAAGTCCAACGTTTCCTTATTGATTTCGTCAAAATGATATATCCATTTTTGAAAGTGGGTACTGAAATCCCCTATTATTACTGTAATGGCTGTCTATTACTTCCTTCAGATCTGTTAATATTTGCCTTATACATTTAGATGCTCCAATACTGGGTGCATAAATATTTTCATTGTTAATTCCTCTGGATAAATTGACCACTTTATCAGTATATAATAACCATCTTTGTCTCTTTTTTCAGTTTTTGACTTAAATTCTCTTTTGTCTGGTATAAGTATAGTAACAATTGCTCTCTTTGGTTTCCACTTACATAGAATACCTTTTTCCATCCCCCCCTTAACTTTCAGATTATAGTTGTAGAATTAGTACATTTACATGTAAAGTAATTTCTGACAGGTAAAGGCTATTGCCCTTTTGTTAATTCTTTTCTGGATGTTTTATAAGCCTTTTGTTCCTATCTTCCTCTCTTGCACTCATCCTCTGTGATTTGATGATTTTCTGTAGTGGTATAATTTGATTCCTTTCTCATCTGTTGTGTATCTACTATAGGTTTTTGCTTTGTAGTTTCCATGAGGCTTACATAAAGCATTCTATAGTTATAGTAGTCCATAGCAAGCTGATAACTTCAATAGCTTATGAAAGCTCTACATGTTTATTCTCTGCCACGTCTATTCACACCCCCACACACACTTACACACTTTAGGTTTTTTTATCTCATAATTTACATATTTTTATAATGTGTGTCCATTAAAATTTTTTTGTAGCTAGTCATTTTTAATACAACTTTTAACATTTATACTAGAGTTATAATGTGATTTACACACCACCATCACATACTAGGGAATTCTGAATTTGACTTTATATTTACCATTACAGCCAGGTTTATACTTTCATGTTTTTACATTACTAATTAGTATTCTTTCATTTCAACTTGAAGAACTTCTTTTGGCATTTCTTGTAAGCCAAGTCTACTGCTGATGGACTCATTCAGCTTTTGTTTGTACAGGAATAGCTTCACCTCTCCTTCATTTCTGAATAACAACTTTGCCAGGTAAAGTATTCTTGGTTGGCACTTATTCTCTTTCAGAACAGTAGATATATCACCCCATTCCCTGGCCTATAAGGTTTCTGTTGAAAAACGGGCTTATAGTCTCATGGGGGCTCCCTTATACGCAAAAAGTTGTTTTTCTCTTCTTTCAATTCTCTGTCTTTAGCTTTTGACAATTTGATTATAATGTGTCCTGATGTGGGTCTCTTTGGATTATCTTCTTTGGTGCTTTTAGGCTTCCTGGATCTGGATATCTATTTCTTTCCCAGGTTTTGGAAGTTTTCAGCCATTATTTCACTGAATAATTTTTCTATGTCTTTCTCTCATCTCCTTCTGGGACTCTCACAATGAGCTTATTCATCCACTTGATGGTGTCCCATAAGACCTTTAAGCTATGTTCATTTTTTTTTCATTCTTTTTTCATTTTGTTCCTCTGATGGATTTCTACTAATCTGTCTTCAAGTTCATTGATCCTTCATTCTATTGGATCTAAGCTATTGTTAAATCCTTCTATTGACTTTTTAGGTCACTAGTATTCTTCAACTCCATGATTTCTTTTTAGTACTTTTTAAATATGTTCTTTCTGTTGAAATTCTCACTTTGTTCATGCATTGCCTTCTTGGTCTCAGTGAGCATCTTTATGATGTTAATTTGAGTTATCTGACAGTTAAATCACTTATCTCCATTTGTTTTTATCACTGGAGTGAGCTGGGGGAGAAAGCATGGGAAGTTCCTACATGCCATGATGTTCAGGGTCCTGTGGGACTACAAATTAATAACCCATCTGCTCTCAGATTCAGGCCAATTAGAAGCCCAACCATTGGGCAGCAACTGGAAACGTACATAGTCAAAGCCCTTCCAGGGAAAAACTGGGAGTCTTATGTTTTTGCCTGCTCCCTATGTGCTGAGGCTGGAGTGAGGGTAGCAGTGAAAAGTACTCACATGTCTTAAAAATCACCACTTTGTATTCTGTGGTGAAGGGGAACTTGCAAGTGCTGAGCCCTTTTGGCTCTCTGATGTACGTGATTTGGGAGCCAGTCCTTCAAGTAGCAGCCATAAAAGCTGGGGTGCTAGGAGTGTGGGCAAACTCCTTTCAGGGAGAAACTGGATACATACTTTTATCATTGGGTGAGTGAAAGGATAGAAGATGACGGAAGTGCCCACAAGCGTTTTCAGGCTCCTGGAGCCCAGGAAAATTACAGATGCAGGCTAATTAGACATACGACCCTTGGACCACAACTAGAAACGTATGCAGTCAAACCCTTTCCAGGGAGACACTGATATCCTTGTGTTTCTTGCCTATTCCTTTTGTGTTGAGCCCAGGGGTATAGCCATGGTAAGTGCCCGCATATCTG